TCCCAAACTAAAACGCGCAGGAAGTTGAGTATGTTACCACCTTTAGTGGACACTTGGCCCGATAGACGGGGAAAGTTTCACAAAAATCCATCCTGAACCTGATTTTTGTCGGCTTTGCAAATGTGACTCACAAAATAAAAAAAACCCTTTTGTTGATCTTAAGTGCTCAAAGTGATTGTTTAATAGTACGCAAATTTCCACTCATTTTTGACCGATTGCACAATTGAAAAGCTTCTAAGAGCTTCTGCAGCTCAGTCCCCAACGCCCTCAAGTCGATATCTTTGTCCATTTGCAACCAGTCGAAATCGCCAGACCTTAAAGTAAGTTTTAAACTGATTAGCCAAAAGCGTGAACTTCAGACAAACATTTATGGAACTAATCCGACATTAAGCAGGGATTCGTTTCGTGAAGCCAGTGCTCTTTTCTACAACTAAAACTGGTTCGGATTGGTGATGAACTTTAGCGCATCGTGAAAGTTTACATTCAAACTCCGGGTCCCAGACGAATCACTTTAAGTTGCTGGCGGTTGGATAAGGACAATTTTAACGACTGTATTAGAAGAGTTTTTGTGTTAGTTTGAAGGGTTTCCAGGGCAGTTCAGCCAAAAATCAGTTGATTTTAAACGCGAAAAACTTCCAGGTACAATGGATTTGGTAGAGTCGAGAGCTCCTACTATGATCTCTGGGCTGAGTACTACTTGAAGTTCTTTGATGCCTATCTGGAAAACAACGTCACATTTTGGGGCGTGACCACGCAAAACGAACCTGTAGATGGGCTGTTTGGTACCAGTGTACCGAATAATGGCTTCACTTCATCTGAAATGGTAAGGGTATAGCTGTGTCTTAAAAGCTGGAAAACTTGCATCGTCTGTTTGTGAAAACAGAATATTTATGCACCAGAAAAATTTAAAAAATCCGAAAATCCTCAAACCAAACCTGAAATTTCCGTTGTATTAGGCTCAATACATTTTGTACATTTACAGGTAAACTGGATTAAAAACTCATTTGGACCGACAATTCGCAACTCCAGTTACAGCGATTTGAAAATCATGGTGCATGATGACCAGCGGCTTTTATTGCCACTCTTAAAATACGTATGTTTCAGTCTTAGTCTATTTAATTATTTGAAAATTCGCACTTTTTCCAGCAAGTAATCAGTGATAGCGACGTACTGGCATATGCTGATGGCATAGCTGTCCATTGGTACACAGACTTTATCACTTCAGCGTCGCTGTTAGACTTTGCTTCAAGTGACGATAAGGATTTGTTCCGTTTGGGCACTGAAGCATGCATAGGTAGCAATCAATCAATTAGTCAATCAATCAATCAATGGATCAACTTATCTTCGGCTACATTTATTTTTCAGACCCGACTACTGACCTCGGAGTAACTATTGATTTGGGTAGCTGGGCCCGAGGGGAGCGATACTTTAAAAGTATTATCGAGGTAAACGTGTTTAACTTCTTTAATTTTACGTGCTTTTATTTGCCCGTTTTCTTGTTCTGTATTAATTGCACTAATTGTTTTATTGCTATTCGATCTGGGCGTTACAGATGCATTTATTGATTACTCTCCGCTGTTTTCTGGGCTTTAATTCGTCGAAAGTGTGTTTAATCGGAAAGGCTCAGAAGCTTTGGATGAAAGTACCTGAACGACTAGTAAAACATCGGTTTTCGGCTTTTCTCGACTTTATCAGCGGCTCAATTTATTCGGCAATTTAAGCTGTTTTGTGCCGGCGCTCGTTGACTGTGTTTTAAATTGTTTTACTACTTGGATTATTCCTTTTCCCATTTTAGGTTTCTTTCTCAGCTTGATTGATCTTTCGAGCCTTCATTTTTCGCTTTTTAGTTAAACGTGGGGGGTTTGTACACTTTTGTGCATTCACATAGTTGGGCAAATAAAGTGAGTAGTTTGTCAAAAATTCCCGAAATGTTTTCCGCTCTTTTATTGCAACAAATTTTATATAAAAAAGTTGGTTGCGCTCGCTTACTTAAAAATTCGCTTCTCCCAAACTAAAGCTCGCAGGAAATCGAGTCTGTTACCACCTTTAGTGGATACTTGGTGCGATAGATGGGAAAAGTTTCACAAAAAGCCATCGTTAACCTGATTTTTGTGGGCTTTGCAAATATGACTCACAAAATTGATGTTGTAAGTGAGTTGCGCTAGCTTACTTAAAAATTCGTATCTCCCAAACTAAAATACGCAGAATGTTGAGTCTTTTACCACCTTTAGTGGACACTTATCCCGACAGAGGGTAAAAGTTTCACAAAAATCCATAGTTAACCTGATTTTTGTCGGCTTTACAAATGTGACTCACAAAATTAATGTTGTAAGTCAATTGCCCTCGCTTACTTAAAAATTCGCACCTCCCAAACTAAAACGCGGAGGAAGTTGAGTCTGTTACCACCTTTAGTGGACACCTGGCCCGACAGACGGTGAAAGTTTCACAAAAATCCATCGTTAACCAGATTTTTCTGGGCTTTGCAAATGTAACTCACAAAATTGATGTTGTAAGTCCGTTGCGCTCGCTTACTTAAAAATTTGCAGTTCCCAAACTAAAACGCACAAGAAGTTGAGTCTGTTACCATCTTTAGTGGACGCTTGGTCCGATAGACGGGTAAAGTTTTACAAATATCCATCATGAACATGATTTTTATCGGCTTTGCAAATGTGACTCAAAATTGATGTTCTAAGTCAGTTGCGCTCGTTTACTTAAAAAGTCGCACCTCCCAAACTAAAGCTCGCAGGAAATCGAGTCTTTTACCACCTTTAGTGGACACTTGGCCCAATAGACCTGCAAAGTTTCATAAAAATGCATCATTAACCTGATTTTTCGCCACTTTGCAAATGTGACTCACAAAAGTGATGTTGTAAGTCAGTTGCGCTCGCTTACTTAAAAATTCGTATCTCCCAAACTAAAACGCGGAGGAAGTTGAGTCTGTTACCACCTTTAGTGGACGCTTGGTCCGATAGACGGGTAAAGTTTCACAGATATCCATCATGAACATGATTTTTATCGGCTTTGCAAATGTGACTCAAAATTGATGTTGTAAGTCAGTTGCGCTCGCTTACTTAAAAAATCGCGTGTCTCAAACTAAAGCTCGCAGGAAATCGAGTCTTTTACCACCTTTAGTGGACACTTGGTCCGATAGACGGGGAAAGTTTCACAAAAATCCATCTTTGACCTGATTTTTGTTTTTGAAAACAGTCCGAAATTTTTTTCCGCGCGCTCATTGCAGCAAATTTTATTTCAAAAAATTATCCATTTGCTCTTTTCTCATTCATCCTAATCAATTTCTCATTTTGCCCGATTTGTTTGCGTCTCTAGCTCGTATTTCCTTTGGTCAGCTAAAAAAATTATCGTCGTCTTGATAAGATCAGCTTCAGAGTATTGTTCCTTGAACTTGGTGAGTTTGTGCACCTGATATTAATATAAATATTTTACTTTTACTTTATTTTTAAACTTTTTTGGTGTTTGATTTCTGTTTGCACGCACTAAATATGTGTTCGTGGCCGTCTATTGAAGTAATCGAAGCCACTTCTTAAAAACTTTTAAAAACTTGAACGTTTTTCTAACTTCTCAAAATTTTGCTCGTGGTTTGGCTTGACTGTCTTATACATTTTCTAACCCTTCCTTATGCGTTTCAGATATTCTTGAGCTTATGGGGTTCTGATAATTTCCCATCCAATATTAATAGACTTTTGGCTGATTCTAAGCAATTTTCCTTTAGTTTTCTTGCAAGATTCTGCGGTTTTTTCTGTTCTCTTGACCTGTTCAGTTGCTGTCGATCACAGAACAACATTTGCCTAATTCCTGTTCTGATAAACATTCCCAAAAATAATTAAAACATCTCGAAGGCACTAAATTTACCGCTTTAAGTCTTCCTTTGCTTTCGCCGTGACAAATATTCTTATTCAACCGAATTGAATCAATTTAAGGTCCCAATGCCAAATGGGCAAACATTGGGGGTCTAAAATTGGACATTGTTGTGTCGGAGAAGAGGTTTTGCTGAACTGAAAATCTCGTAATAATTCTTGGGCAAAGCAAGAAGAAAACGCTTTCTATGGGCGAATTGCTTGCAAACAAACCGCTATCATTAGCGATGCTGAGTGCATTTTTCAGTTGGACGGAAAACGGCCCCAAGATTCATGAATGCACTTTGCATGAACGAATATACTTTTTCGACAATCGCTTTTGGCGACCGGTTTTAAAGGGAGTAAAATTGATTGTTTGCATTAATAATAAGAGCAGCAAAACCACATTAGTATTCCGGCAAGTCGCGATTTATTGGAGGTTCTTTCGCAAACTTTGAGAGTTTTTCAGTGGCAAAGATGCGCTTTGAAATTTAATGCTGACTCCAGGAATATTAGGTGTGTTTGCAATTTTTTTGCCACCCTTTCGCCGGAAAGTTCCAAAAGCTGTTTCCATTATAACTTTTATGCTGCTGATAAATCGCGCTTTAAGGCCCTGCCTGGGAAACTTTCGTTCAAAGCTTCGAGCCATTTTTTTCACTGTTTCTGCTTACTTTCTATTGCATTGTTTGCCGTTATTGCGCAAAACTAAGCTTAAGTGTTAATGGATGGCGCAAAAATAAAACGCAATCAAATAGTTTTCCTTCGTAGGACTTGAATTATGATTTTGTCGGCTGGGTTGACTGGAACATGGCTTTAAATACCAGTGGAGGGCCGAACTGGATCCAAAATGAGGTGGACGGGCCCATAATAGTCAACACAACATCCGACGAATTTTACAAACAGCCAATGTTTTACGCTCTGGGCCATTTTTCCAAGTTTGTTGTCACCGATTCGCAAAGAGTTGCTATCAGCACAACAGACGATGATCTGGATGTAATCGGCTTTGTTCGACCAGATGGACTGGTTGCTGTTGTGATTTTGAACAGGTATTTATTGAAGTTCAGAGCTAATGATATTCTCATCTTTCCTGAGTTTAACTTTGAACATCGTTTATTTCATTGCGTTGCGGCGAGAGAACAGCGCCATCGTCAGATTTAAAATTTACACAAACTCATGATTGGTAAAAATCAACGTTCTTTTAGGTCTTTGCCTTCTTGAAACCGTAAATTTGTCTTTCGAGAGACA